AAATATAAAATACATTTAAATATTGTATATATGGATTAAAAACATCAAAAGAATAAAAAATGGTGAAAAAGCTAAAAAAAAATGCAGTCAGAAGAGAACTATAAACATATAGTAACATTTATTTTGATGTGTACATTTTAGACGAATATGACATTACAATAAGGTTATCAATAATAATAATTTAAAAAATATTAACAATTATTAAAAATATGACGGATTCTTTTTTTGTGGCATTATATAAAGAAATTACCACAAAAAAAACATACTATGATAGCGCTCCTCAACATAGCAAAGGAAGACTTGAGTTTCATCAAATGCATCGATTTGAGTCAATTTTCAAAATTCAAGAATTTTCATAATTTAATAAAAAATATATATTTTTTAATCTTTATTGTAAATTATTTTCCCCAGAGTATACTGTGATTCATGTAATAATAATAATCCATATACGTATCTGGCATTATCAGAGTACACTACTAAAGTAAAATGTAGTATATTTGAAATATGAAAGGTATGAAGTAGAAATGATTTATTATAAGTGTTTGTGGATGTGGATCATCATACAGGCCAGCCGTAGGAACCAGAATTCACTTTACGGATCTGACCAGGCTGCCGCGGAAACCTCACTGACTGTCCTGTGGATAACAATTCATTAAACGAATTCATTCATTCTAGAGAAAAAAACATTATTTTACATAATTGCTATTAATAGTTGATGGTCTGTTTATTTGTTTACTGCTGTTTATTACCTGGAGTAAGTGGGATTGTAGTTCCAGTATTCAGGACAACTTCAAGAGCGGACGGCTCCTGACTCCCAGACTCCTCTGCAGGCTTCCTCACTGAAACGCTCACTTCCCCACGCTTCACCATCCAATCCATCCTGTTGCCAAGGTAACTCACACCTTTCACACGGAGTGCATCAGCCTCCTGTGGCAGCAGCGGAGCGAAGGCAAGATGCTCCCTCTGCACTCTGAACAACACCGGACAGGAGCGAGACACACAGTGACGTCTGGATGTGATCAAGCGACTGTCTCTTTAAGTTGGCAGTGATTTTGTCACCTGAAGCCAGTGTAGCCAAACAGCACCGCCTGCAGAAAGCCACCCGTACCGGTGAGGAAGTTCACACACCCAGAGCCATCAGCCGACTCACTCCATACCTACACAAAGAATGGAAAAATACAGATGATGGAGATATCCGACATAAAATACTAGAGTATTAATTAGTATATATCGTGTAATATGTACAGTATACTGCTTTAAATATTTACATATGCGCAGGATGTAACAATAAATGTTTCACCGTTGTCAACGACTTTATGTTATGTTGCATATTAATTATGTTGTATACAGTTTTTAAAATGTAAATTTAATCGAGCAGCGTGTGGGATTTATATATTTTCTCATTGTACTTTCATCCTTCACACCTACAAATATGGAAGACTTTTTCCACCACGGGATAAAACAGTGAAGAAAGTTAATTGTGACTTTTTATCTCACAATTCAGACACACTCGTGAGATATAAATTCAGATTTGGAAGATATAAACTCGCAATTGAAAGAAAAAAGATATACTGTAAACTTTTTTCTCAGGATTCCAAGTTTATATTTCGCAATTCGGACTTTTTTTCCCTCTAAATTCTGAGTTTACGTCTCGCAATTCTGTTTTTTTGTTTCCACCACGGAATAAAAAATAAAAAAGGTAACTGTAACTTTTTATATCTCACACTTCAGATTTTTCTCGCATTTGCAAGTTTGTATCTCAAAATTACAGAACTTGTGAGATATAAGATATAAATTGCTAGAACAAAAAGTCTGAATTATGAGATAAAACGTTTTTTTTTTATCCTGTGGCGGAAACAAGCTTCCATAACGAATGATATGCTGGGCACTATATTTTTTATTGAATTTAAATTGAATGTCAGGTTTTTTTGCATTTCAATTTAATGCAATTTTTAAAATATTCTATATTTAAATTTTTTAAATATTAAAAAAAAATTTTTTTGCAAAATATAATTGAAAAAGGAAGGTCACGTCCTGCATTGCATTGTCGGATACGTTATTCCATAGAGTGTGCTCCGCTTGCGTACTCATTTTCCACTAATTAAAAAAAATAATAAATCTGTAAATAAAACAAAGATTATTCTAATGTGTTTTACAAGAAAATATTATTTAGATTTTTCTACTTCAAAATTCCATGTTTACTTTTAACGAGTTACTTGCAGTTTCTTTGTAATTATTTGTTAAATTTGCTAGCAATGTCTGAGCGAAATTGGTTTTTTTGTTTGTTTTTGTTTTTTCAGTGTACTATGCACAGCATACATATTGCATAGTGCAAAAATGTACCTGAAATGGTTTTTGGATATTTTTTAATCATTTCCGCAGAAGCTTTTGGGCTCTTTCAGCCTCTCCAAGTTCAAGCCAACCCAAAGCAAACATGCCCTACGAACAGACACACACTATAAGAAAATAGTGTGCAAAAAAAAAGGAAATAAAATGAACAGATAATAATAGAAACACACACAGAGCATGATGGTTGATCATGTGCACAGTGTGTGACTTACCCATGTCATGGCCGGTCCGAGCGGATCCGTGACAGCCTCATACGCTTCCAGATCATTGCGTCTGACCTCTGGGGTCATGGACATGGCCAGCGGGTAACCGAGCAACACTACGTCTGCCTGCTTGACTCGATTTCCTGAGGAATATAAAGCAGCGGTCCCTTCAGAACACCAACACCTTTCGAAATTCCCTTTATTACACCACAGAGGAGAATTACAAGCAACTGAATTATTCGACTTCTTTAAAGAATTCAAATATACATCAACATGTGTCTTGAAAAGAAAACGTTTTTGTACATTTATGCACCTTTTTTTTTTTTTTTACAAAATGTACATTTATGAATGTACAATTTAACGTTTTTATGAACGTTATTCAGAATTCAGAATATACAGCGATGATGTATTTTTGTGAATTAGCATCACCCTGGTTCCCACGGCAAAAACCCAATAGTACTGCAGAAAATAAGTTCTGTGACCGACAACGTTTATGATTCTTACATGTTTTGTTCATCATAACAAAACACTTTTATGAATTTTGAAGCCTAAAAACAGAAGTAAAAAGGTAAACGTAGTTCATATAAATGAACTACACTACAGTTGCATGCCTTCAACGTCACAAGCATTATGCTACTGACAACTCTTTCAGTCTTTATATCTACAAGTTGGAAATCGTATTAATTTTATTACATTGCATTTATTTGTTTTATTATATCGGTAACACTTTACAATAAGGTTCCATTAGTTAATGTATTAACTAACATTAATGAACAATACATTTATTACAGTATTTATTAATGTTAGTTAATGAAAATACAGTCGTTCATTGTTAGTTCATGCTAATTCACAGTGCATTAACTAATGTGAACAAGCACAACTTTTGATTTTAATAATGCATTAGTAAATGTTGAAATTATCATGAACTAAGATTAATAAATGCTGTAGTATTGTTTCTGCTTAGTTCATGTGAACTAAAGTAGTTAACTAATGAACCTTATTGTAAAGTGTTACCAATATATTTATTGATTAATTAAATATTTTAATGTATTTAATTAATTATTTATTATTTTTTGTTGTTGTTGTTTGTCCCCAACAACCTCTTTAGGCCAATTTAACCTTTGTCAGAAAAGTAAAAGCTTAAAAAAAAGAATGCATGGTGTATTACTGATGTATTTTATGTTTTAGAATAAAAGGTGAAAATATCTTGAGCTTTTGTAAACACAAACTTTATTGCAGGCATTTAACCAAAACCCCACTCAAAAAACCCATTGACTTTGGGACGATGGAACCAGAAGTTCAAAAACACGTCTCATTTTCAGGTTTGAGGACTCCTCCCTGCAGCACTGAGAGTTTGTTTAGAAAGTTGAATCAGGGAATATAATGATTACTACACCACGAGCATGAAGCTGATGAGGGCGTCTCACCCTGCGTGTAGCCGTCAAACTCTAGGTGATACTTCAGTTCCGGGTCAAAGGGTATTTTGATCTTATCAGCAACGTCCTGCCAAGCGGGAGGAGCCGTGTGCGCCAACAGACCAGACAACTCCACGGCAAACTGAAGACTACACATTAGAGAGAACGAAAGAACCTGCTAGTTCTGAAAAATACTCCCAGTACTCTCAATATTCATTGTGTGATTTTTGGTTGTTTAATCACCCGCCAGGAGAGATCTTATGCACTGACGTGTAGTACTCAGGGTTAAGGGTTTGTTCAAATCAATGACCCTAATTATGAGAGATCACGCACAAACACACACCTGCGTTGGGCGAGTTGTCGACAGTGAAGTATAGTACTCATCAAGAGGAATCACACCTAATGGACAAACAACACAAAACCTCACAAAGAAGCTTACGCACAAGATCAAAACAAGACACTTAGCAAGTTTTTTTTATTTCCCTTTGCATTCATTCATTCGTGTTTCCAGCCCTGAATGCACCACAAAACATTATGAATCATTATAAACGAATATGATGTAATGTTGTGTGAATTCAAAGAGTTCCACGTTACTTAAAAAATTATTTCAAGTATTTAAATGCATGCATGACTCATGATGTCCTGACCAGTGTTATTTTTGTATTATTTATTTACTAATATTTTTAGTTTTTTATACTTTACTAATATTTATTTTTACTAATATTTTTAGTTTTTTAGACTTTAGTTTTTATATACACTTTTTTTGTACTTGTTTTTGTCAGGTTTTTGTTCTTTTGATTTTTATTTGAGTTTTAGTTTTTTATTTATTTCCAGTTTGCTCTTTTAGTGCTTCTATTTAAACTTTTTTCTGTTCTTTTTTTTTTATACTTTTTTTTAAAAATCTTTTTGTCCCGCCTTGTATTTACCATAAAAAATTATATGTAACACTTTACAATAATGTTCATTAGTTAACTACTTTAGTTCACATGAACTAAGCATGAACAATACTTCTACAGCATTTATTAATCTTAGTTCATGTTAATTTCAACATTTACTAATGCATTATTAAAATCAAAAGTTGTGCTTATTCACATTAGTTAATGCACTGTGAATTAACATGAACTAACAATGAAGTTTCATCAACTAACATTAACAAAGATTAATAAATACTGTAATAAATGTATTATTCATTGTTTGTTCATGTGAGTTAATGCATTAACTAACATTAACTAATGGAACCTTATTGTAAAGTAACTTTATTCATTATTTCAAGTTGCTGAATGCATGCATGACTGATGATGTCATGACCAGTGTTATTTATTTACTATTGTATTTTTATGAAAATTTCATTTTTATACCTTGTTTAATTTTTTTGTAATTTTGTTATGTGCTTTTGTCACTTTTATTGTTTTTTGTTCTTTTTAAGTTTTTCATCTAATATGTATATTTGATTTCAGATGTATTTCAGTTAACAATCATGTTTTCAAAAGTTTT